GGGGGGTTCTGTGCCTTGCTCAAGGGCACCTCGGCAGTGCCCAGGAGGTGAACTGGCACCTCTCCAGCTACCAGTCCACCTTCCATACTTTGGTCAAAAGTACTTATCTAAGTGAAAGTAAGTACTTTAATTTAGTACGTTATGTTCGAAGCAAAATATACTCAAGTATCAAAAATAAAAGTACTGATGGTGCAGAAGCATTTCAATTACTATACGTATTGTTTTAATATACTGTAGTATACAACAGAGGTGGAAAAATAAAAAAGTAAAAATGTGCCATGTAGTTGTGCCACATTTTGATTCCACTTGTGCACTTAAACAGGTGATATCATTAGCTAGTTCGACCTCTGGCAAAACATCATGGTGTGTTGCATCGTGTTGGAAGCTTGGTTGTCTTACATATCACGTTCGTGAGTTAAGAAAGACACGTATTCAACTTTGTGACTGTGCGCACCTAATACAAGGAGACTTTGCAAAAATGTTTTATAACGTTACTTACAAACAAATGCGAACAGTTACTTTACGTTATGCCCTAAAATGTTTAGAGTCCTTAGGTGTTGATGCTAACCGTTAAAGTTAAAGTTAACTTTGAAGTCATCTAACTTAGATTCGGTAATTTGCATCATTAATGACTTCTATAACGCTACTATTTTACGGGACCTATATTAACGAAGAACACAAGAAACCATGCATTTACTTTTTGTGGATAGTAAAAATCTCCAACTCAACGCTACTCGGGGCACACGCTCACTCGCTGGTCTCTCTCGAATTAAAAGGCTGGTGAAAATGTCCCTCTCAAAACATCCTTCCCACCTCACCACCCAAAAAAAACATCCTCACTTCCTGACAGTGGAGGTGTCCTGAAAGTGGAGCCTGCACCGGGAGCGACCTCACAGTGGAGATCTGCAGCCAGGACCCTCTCAAAATAGTAGCAATGGAATTTAGTCCATTGTTCCTATTTTCCACTGTTCAAATATATTGGTACACCGACCACAGTTCCTGGGAATAAGCAGGGAAGCGGGAGACCTCTGGATCCCCAAACACCATAACACACACATGCACAAGCACGCCAACATACACTCACATTCACTCATGGGCGGTCACCGAGGATATAAGGTCTGGAAAAGCAAGTGTTAGTGTTGTTTCGTTGTTGCTTCAACGTTGTTTAGGGGTGTTCGCTGTCATTTGTGTGCTGATGTCCTGCAAATAAAGAAGTCCCGCCTGGCTGTAACTCTTCTTCACGAGCTCGGAGTCTTTCTTAACTTCCAGTGTTTTACTGAAGTCGAGCATTTTTCCTACATAATTGGTGTCACGAACATCGTCTCTGAAGGTAACACAACGGTCTGTGGTGGCTTCGAGGGGCATCCTCCCTGCACCAGATTAAAGGTAAGGTCTTTTAAAATTCCTTACACTAATTTTGAATTGGCTAAGATAAAAATATGCTAAAAACTTAAGTCACTAAGCGCGGCTGGGTGCTCCAAGGGGTCACTGCAGACCCATCCCTCACAGACAAGTACCCTGCTGGGGGCTGAGAGCGGTGGAGAAAAAGAGAGCCAAACGTCTGTGCACAGAACAGCTGCTGAGAGACGAGCTGAACTCAAGAGAGTGAAGCAACATTGGATTGTGATTGACTTTTGTGTCTAAAACGAAACAACCAGAAATTAAAAGAGCAGCTGTGGAAATAAGTTGTGTGAGTCCAAGAGGAACTCTGTGCCAATTCAAGAGGAATGCGAGTTTAAGAGAAACTCTGATAAATCCAGAGGGATTTAGTGGTCTGAGAGAGAGACCTGGGTTTGAGTCTTATGAGAAGACTCGTGAGTAAATTCAAGAGGAATTTACGTGATATAGAGTCTAGAGAGACTCTGAGTTAGAGTTAGACTGGTCCGGAGAGACCAGAGTCCCATGCCCATAGGGATAAAGCTTAGTTAGGACTGTGATGAGAGTCTAGATGTAGACTGCGCAAACTTTTGGTCAGGTTTGAGTGAAACCTGTGGCTTCTTGCTATTTCCGGCAATCGGAGAAATAGATTTCCCTTTTTTTGACAGTTTTGTGTGAAATAATATATATATATATATATATATATATATATTAACAGTAATAATAATAATAATAAAAGGCCTATAAATAAGAGAAAATAATTTTAAAAAAAAAGATAAATTACAATTGGTGGGAAAATCTGAATAAGCCTGCAGCCAACTACAACAATCACCTCATGCGCATGAATCCAAATTGAATAAATAAAAGTACAAACCGTGATTAAGCTGAAATATTTTTGCTGTGTAGAGAACTGTTTGCTTGGACGTCATATGAAATACCTGTGCAATGTGTGGAGCTTGTGTGAATTTGCAAGCTGAAATATTAGATTGCTGCATAGATGGATGGATGGATGGATGGATGGATAGATAGATAGATAGATAGATAGATAGATAGATAGATAGATAGATAGATAGATAGATAGATAGATAGATAGATAGATAGATGTTATTGAATCCGCGTGTAGCCTCCATATGGAAAACTATTAAGAATAAACTTGATTGGGTGACAGGTACAGACCAGAATTTTATCGAGTAGGATGAGAGCCAATGCACCCTGTCTTATTGTTAAACCCATTCATATTTCAGCCTCACACACTTAGCTTACTCCAGCACCCTAAGAGGTGCTGAGGTTCAGTGTATTATTTATTCTGAAGGCGATGCCGCTCGGTTTCCTGTCTTCAGCTGCTCTCCGCAGCCCGTCTTCGTCAGCAGATCTCACGTCAATCATCCTCAACGGGAATTCACCGAGCGCCAGCTGGAGAGCGAGGACCCCACCACACACACGCACACACACTGCACACACACTGCACACACACACACACGCACACACCCACTGCACACACACACACATACACTGGACACACACTGCACACACTGCACCCACACACACATCCAAACAAATACTGTCTATTATGTCTGTAAATACTTTTTAGATAAAATGCTATAAACACACAGAGACAAAAGTTAATACACAACTCAGGTATGAAAACATAAACACCATCTAATAGAATGTATCACTAGTTATTACTGTTGTTTTACAGGACTGGTGGTGGTGGTAATAGTTGCATGATGGGGTTTTTGATGCTGTTGCACGTTGGAATGAAACAAAGCTCATATGCATATCATGTAAATTTCACGGTGAGAGTTCAAATCCTTTCTCCCGGCATGCTTTGTGCTATTTGGCCCGTACATCGCCACCCGTCCCTGCACAACTAAGGTGTCACCACTAGATGTCACTCATAGATCAGTATAGTGTGTTGGGTGCCATCCACGAGGTTAGATGCTTGCCACCAGAGATGAGCAGCTTTAACATTTACAATTTTTTTAATGTAGTAGTAAAATTATTTTAAAAAAGACAAAGGACAAACGAGGATGTCTTTATAACAGCCTAGACTAACACTTTAGTCCCACATTGTGGAAGTTGTAGCCTAATATCTTCCACGTAACTACCTTTTGAACTAGAGTGTTTTGGTGGCAATTGGATTTTGACTCTGATAGATATTCAGATATTTTAGTCAGTTTGGGGCCTAATGATTGATAACAGAGATACCTTTAAGACACTGCAGGATAAATGAAGCACTCACCAATAATGTGCACTTTGCTCATGCATGTCAATAGATTTATTCTAATTTACATGGCAGTTATTTTGTATGTTCTTCTGTTTTATCATTGATTTAATCAGTGTGGATTGTTGCCTTGATGATTTATTCTTTTATTTCATTGCATTTTTTAGAATGTTAAGTGGGTTAGGGTAAAAATGTTAAAAATTAATCCTTTACATTATATTATATTAAGGGAAATATTAGGATACACTCATTATACATATACATATACTTGACTGTGACATATCAATTATTTTTCTACATTAAAAATGAGTAGAAAAGACCTTTTAACTATAATCAGTTTTAATCAAATACTCATTACTCCCTCTCACTTGAATCAACCAGAGTAACAGAAGTCTAACATGTTTATAATGAAATTAGTACTTTGTGAAACCTAACCTTTGCTTTTTTCTTTCGGGTGTTTCTAGTGTTAAGAGTGTTAACATGTGGTTTTACTGATAAGGATCTCAAATTTAAAGTCAGGGCCGTACCGGAAACAGACTCTGCATTATTTGTTTCTCCTTAACTGTTCATTAGCAGACTGTAACTTACTTGAGTGTGCATTCGATTTTTTGGTATCCAAAACATTATAGACAAAGAAAGGAAAAAGGAGCCGTGAAGTACAGCCACCTGACGGGGGGAAGGGCATCACTGAAATCTCAACATGTCAGGTGATTACTTTTTAACTACTTTACTAAAAACTACAGAATTTCTATCTAGCTCTATGTTGTTGTTGACCTGTTGACCGTGACGGTGTTGATATGTGACAATGTGTGATGTTTGAGGGGGACACACATTGCTCTAACTTTTACATCCATTATCTATATTAATCAAATTAGAAAGACAGTAGGTATTGTTAATTATTTTGCATTTCCATTTGGATTCTTATCAAACAATGAAGACTAAAAAAAACTCCACTATAGCAGGCAAAATGAAAGACAATTATTTGTTGCAAGTACGAATAGATTAAATTATTAAATAATTTAGAATTGTTAATGGTCACTAGATAGAGTCGTCTTGACAAGTGTTTAAACTGGTGATTTTAAATTCAATTAAACATTTTAAATAAATTTAAGTTCTTACTCAATTTTATTCTCCCCCTTGAAGACTGATGTGTAAGCCTGACCAGTGTTTCCAACAGGAGTAAGTTACATATGAAGACCAGCAGGTAGCGTGATAACTCTCATTATCAATTGACGTTGAGGGGCTCATTCACCCAAATTCCAAAACATCACACTTTGTCACAGTTTTGGTTTTATTTGCAGATAGGTATAGTCAAATAAATTTCTGCCTTTACGCCAAAACAGTTGATTACCCGCTTTAGAGTTACCGTAAATAATAGTTTGTGTCTCACAGCAATGAAAAGATAAACTGAAAGAGTCATTTAAAGCTGTTAACACAGAAAAACTGAACAGAATTTTGTTCAGAGGCAACCTGACAATTTGAATGTTGCCTATTTAATTCTATCTTACTGGATCAGACTGAAGTTAAACCTTAAATAAATTGTATGATTCAAATAACATGTCTATGTCTGCAGATCTAGAATCACTGAATCATGAATCCACAACATTTGATTATTCCGACTACTACAGTGACTCTCCCACGTTGTACCATCCTTGCAACGATGTGGACTTGATGAATTTTGGGAGAGTGTTTCTGCCCACGCTCTACAGTTTGGTTTGCATTGTGGGATTTCTAGGTATGTATGTGTGTGTGTGTGTGGAGGTTAAAGGGTGGATCTGGGAGCTGTAACATATCTGTGAAAGTTCTCACTCATCCAAATCACGGTATCTTCAAGAGTTGTACATGTGCAAAAAGGCAAATACACCTGTTTGTGTTTTTGAAGATGTTTCACCTCTCATCCAAAAGACTTCTTTAGATATAACTGACTGGCGGGAGGTTTTAGGTAACAGGGAAACTCTTTGGGTCTTTACCTTACCTGAGAGTTGTTATGTTAAACATGCAGGCCAATGAGCCCCCTGCAAATTGGCGGGTTTAGTCAAGGTGTGAATGGCTGTTGATAAGTTCTTGACCCACCCTGTTGGGCTGAAGATAGGTATTGAACTGTCTGGAAGGAGACCATAGGACAGCGTTTTATGTGACTGAAAGTATGTGCCTCAGGCCAGAAACACAAGCAAGGCCAGTTCATTACATACACATGTACAACTCTTGGATAGTTGAACCTTTCAAAAGTCAAATAAAGAAACCAAGAGACAATGTCTAATGTTTTCAGGGAACAAACAGATCAGAACAGAACTGAGAGCAAAACGAATGTAAAGGACAGTATTGACCATCACTGACAAATGGACACAGTCTACAACAAAAACCACGATCTGCAATCAACATACTCAGTATCCTGTGTGTTTGTATAAACCAGTGAAGGCTTTAAAATGAATACCTATGGGAGCTCAATTCACTTGTGTGGATAAAATAAAATCCCCCAAAATTGAGGGTTGGGCTTAGAAGGTTAGGGAGTATTGAGTTTTCTTGATGACTCCCGCTGCCTTGTCCATCGTCTGGGCAGTTGAAATGGAGAGCCAAAGGCAATGTAATGACAACCGCATGCCAGTCAATAGCTTTCCATCCCCAAATCATATCTCAGGCTTTCAGGCTCAGCCTCTCAGGTTGGATCCAGAGTGAGTTGTCCATCATGGTTGAGTGGTTAGGGTTAATGAAGTAGTGGTTATAGGGTTGAGGCTTGGGCAAGTCTCCAAGAAACAAATACAAGGGTTAGGGTTGAACATGTGTGTGTGCGTGTGTGTGTGTGTGTGTGTGTGTGTTGTGGCCCATTTAATGTTTTTTTTCGTCTCCTAAGGTAATGGTTTAGTGGTGTGTCTCCTGGTGAAACACCGCAACCATACCACTTTGACAGACATCTGCCTTTTCAACCTGGCTTTCTCCGACCTTGTCTTCCTGCTCACACTGCCTTTCTACGCTCACTACTCCATGATCAACCACTGGATTTTCGGGGACTTCATGTGCCGTTTCATGTCAACCTGCCACTACACCGGCTACTTCAGCAGTGTCTTCTTCATGGTTGTCATGACACTGGACCGCTACGTGGTCATCGTGCACATTCACAGGGCGGCAGGTTATCGCACGCTGAGGGCAGGCGTTGTTCTCAGCATGTCCATCTGGCTGCTGAGCCTTGGCGTCTCTCTACCAGGGTTTATCTTCTCAAAGGTCACAGATAATTTTAATTACTCAAGTTGTTCCCAAGACCTGGAAAACAGTACCTGGAACATTTACAACATCATTGTGACAAATATAGTGGGTCTCGTGATTCCCTTGCTGGTGATGGTAGTTTGCTACTCTAAGATCATCCCTACACTGATGAACATGAGGAGTGTGAAGAGGCACCGCGCTGTGAAGTTGATTGTCTTTTTAGTGGCTGCCTTTTTCTTCCTCTGGGTCCCATTTAACATTTGCAGTTTCTTGTACTTTCTGAAGTCGACATACATATCCCCGAATGAATGCCACACAGATTTAAAGCTGTCCCTTATCGTGACCGAGACCTTTGCTTACACTCACTGTTGCCTGAATCCCATCATATACGCTTTTGTTGGACAGAAGTTTATGAAACGAGCCTTGCAGCTGCTGAGGAAGTGGGTTCCTGGGAATCGGACTCTCTCCACCAGAGATTTGACAGATAGCTCCTTCAGGAAAAGCTCTGTCTCATCCAGGTCCAGTGATATGATCGCCACTATTATCATTTAGGAGGTGGAGGGCAGATGTGATACAGTTTATGGATACCGCCCTTCAGCTTTTGACCTCCGCCAAGGAGTTAATGTTTTCACCCCTGTCCATTTGTTTGTTGGTTTGTTTGTAAGCAAGACTGTACAAAACAACAGAATGGATTTCCACAAAACTTGTGGTATGTGGTATGGGTCATGGAAGAATCCATAAAACTTTGGTGCAGAATTACCGCATCCAGGATTTTTAAAATTCAACAATATGCAAACTATTACAGCTGCCTGTACCTGTACATGATGACATGATTCTATTGATTCCATTTTCAAATTGTATTTGCACTGTATTGTATTGCAATTGTATTGTTTTGACCATAAGATGTCAGATATGCCGGCCTGTCAGTTTTAAAATAATCCAGATGAGAGCTAAATCATCAGCATTATCATCTCCTATACTTTCACAGGTTTGCTAAATGCAATGCAGCTACGCTGATATAGAAGGACATTTAACTGCACTTCAGACTTAACCTTCTGACAGAGGAAGCCTTGAATCACATGTTTGTTTCTCTGTGGCCGGATGTATTTTGTGTACTGTTTTTTTGGCGGGGGGGGTGGGGGGGGGGGGTTTACACATTTTTATGAAGTCTGCAAGTTGGCAAAAAATATGCATAATGAGCTGCTGACATTTGTAAAAAAGCAAAGTTCCCTTTTATAACATGTGTGTTCTTTTTATTGTAAAAAAAATAAATTCTGTTTAATGCTCAATTGTTTGTATTGATAGTTAATTTGTGTGGTTTTGTTTTGCAAATGAGATTATTCGATTTTTACCTCATGTTGTCTCTGTTCCTCTCTACGCAAATAACTTTGAAGGCAATTTCTATGAAAACAAGCACAAAGTCAAACACTTCTTTCTGTAACTTTAATTCAGCATCTGCAGATGGACAGTACACATCACCTGAATGACATGCACAAATGAGAAAAGAACATAGGAGAATCTGTGTTCTTGTAACTCACAGTCCCCTCCCATTAAGCATGCAAGGGTATTTATTACCCTCTTATAGTTTCACTCAGCGGAGGATTTTATGTGTTTACATATCCTGCGGAGACTCCCCAAGTGAGACCCCAGGTGTGAGATCCCAAACAGAGAGAGAAACCATAAAGTTGTGGTTTCTCAAGGCCATAATTCAAAGTCTCTTAATCAATCATAAACCCTAAAGTTGCCCTTTAACATAAACCGTTCTTGCAATTATACATACACAAATGAAAAATGTCCATTACATAACTTTTGCATGGTAGTTTACATTTGAAATTAAATCAATTAATTAATTTGATTTGTATAGCCTATATTCACAAATCAAAATTAAAAAATGAAAAATATTTACTACATTCACGAGAAAAGACAGAGGTGGAAAATAAAGGTGTATCAATGTATAAAATAAAATAAAAATGCATGAAGGGAGCAGTAATGACAATTGTAATGAAAACATTTGCCAATGACAGTAATATATTTTACATCTGACAAATCTAGCTGTAATCATATCCCACGATCAGCTGCCGCCACGATCCATGATTCTAGATCTGCAATTATAAAGCACAAGGACTCAAAGCAGCAGTCAAGTCAGTAACATATATCGCTGAGTAATTAATGTGAAGAGGGAGAAAAGGAGAGAGAAGCTCCGTGTGTCATGTGTCCCCTGACATTCTAGACCTATAGCAGCATAACTAAGAGCTGGTTCAAGATAGACCTGAACCAGCTCTAACTACAAGCTTTAGCGAACAGGGAGGTTTTGAGCTGACTCTTAAATGTAGAAACGGTGTCTGGCCTCCTTAACTGAAAATGGGAGATGATTCCGTAGGAGAGGAGCTTGAAGGCTCTGGCCCCCACTCTTCTCTCTCTTCCTCTCATTAAAAAGAAAGTTCTGCAGTAGGTTCTTCAGCTTATCTGTGTAACTGGGGCTTTAAACAGATTTGAAATGATCATACTGTAAATGTCCCACATTATACAGTATGCCACACAGAAGCTTTTCTACAGCATGTTGTAGAGTCCACATTAGAGAGAATGCTGGTCCTTCTTCTGCACATTGTGTACAGTAGTTAAATGTTTTCTCTTCCTTATGACAATAGCAGGATACTTATTTAATTAAAAATTTACCTGATGAGTTAATGATTAAGATTAAGTGAAATGTTAAGAAGATTTAAAATGTATGTGCAAGCAAATCATTGGGGAGACACTAGTTTATTAGTCCAGAATTAATAACAAGACTCATGCAGCTTGGTCTACAGGGGCTGTTCATTAAAAATGAGTGAAACCGAAATGTGAAATCTTTTTTTTGATTCCTACTGAGCAAAGTATGATTCAAATGTTCATTTCCTTCTTCAAGAGATGAAAAACAAAGAGAAAAGTGACACATTTTGACACATTTGATTTGGCCTGAACACCTCTTTTCACACATTTCCGAGAAAACCCCGCACCTCTCTGACATGCAGGTTTAACATGATGCAGAGGAAACAACAGAAGTCAGATTTCACCTTACCAGATATGAAAACAAACTCGACTGGAGGACTTGAAATCTTAAGACGCAACACAAGAACATACAAAAGGACAAATTACAGGAGCAGTAATTGGGGTGAGCTCGTTCATATTTAATACTTCAAATCTTTCAGCTGCTATTTGCGAGACTTACTCTATGTCTCACCTTCTTCACCCGCACCACATAGTGCTTGGGTGGGGATCGTGTGTGTGTGATGTTTAGCCACAGGAAGTGAGGGTCGGTAAGTCTGTCAGAGCAGGTGGTTCTGTCTAAGCTTATAGTGAGTAACAAAATAACAGCTGTGGTTTGAATGAGACCTTAAGTGTTAAGTAGGAGTAAGAGGAGGTTTGAGATATTCATAGACAGATTGAATTTACATAGAGGCTGGTGACGGTCGTTGGTTCACTGTTTTTGAAACAGCATAATGTTTGTTGCAGAAGCCATGACTCACTAAACAATGATTGTATCTGAAAAGTTCATTTTAAAGGGCTGTAAAGTCCGTGTTGATTACATCACTACAGAACAGTCAGTGTGGGAAATACGCATTTCCAGTTAAACAGCCCTGTTTGAAGGTATATGAGTTTTTACAAACACTTTAGGCAAATGAAGGAAACATTTTTTCTCTTTTTTGAATCAGGAGTCAAAAGATTACATTTTTGATAAAGTAAGTACATTTTTAATGATTGAGCCACTTTGGCTTTTTATTTGAATCCAGAATTGTCCGGCTTGGTCTCATCTAGTTATCTAAATCTACAGAGAAAAGCACGAGCGGAAAGATCATAGCATTCAGAAGAGGGATTACAGGTTTAAGATGGTTTTTCAATGCTTTGACTATTTATTTTGGCGATAGATTGAAGGTACAGGAAGAACAGATCTGCCACAACTGATTTGTGATGGTTTTGAACCTAAGAGCAGTTTGGGCTGGGTGGCTCCTTTTGAAGAACAGAGTTACAAGAGCACAACTCGATACATTTTGAACAGCTCATTCCTTAGGATTGAGAAAACTCATATTCATCAGACCAGAAACTAAAGTTATGGACTTGCCTTGTTCATATGGTTTTATTTGGCTGGTATGTTCATTTAGTTTTTTTGCAGGAACTGGAAAAAGTCACTGCTGTACAATGTTGGTTTTGAAAAGGTCACATTGTAGTTTACCATGGAAATCTTGGATTATTGTCATTTACATGATTTAGTTTTTGCTGCTTGACTCATGAGGATTTTATTGGTGATCATTTGGATCACCTGACTCAGGTTGAGGACTGTGTTTTGTCTTTGTCTTCTTGACACCAAAGTAATCCCTACATACTCTATTCCTCCTGACACAGCAGTATGAATGCATCAGACTCAGAGATGTATTATGATTATTACTACAATTCGACCTGTGGGCAGGACCCCAGTGCAGAGTTTCTCGATGGATCCATGGTCTTACCAGTTCTTTACTACCTGCTGTTTTGTTTTGGTGTGCTTGGTAAGTTCACAATGCACACAGTTAACGCACATTTGCATTTGAACAGTCCTCATCTACAGTTTGTTACCAGAAAGGCTGAGTAATAATTCAAAGTGATTTTCCAGGTAATGTGACAGTCCTCTGGGTTCTCCTACGCTACATAAAGCTGAAATCTATGACGGATGTGTGCCTCCTCAACCTGGCCCTGTCTGACCTCATACTGGCTGTATCCCTGCCCCTGTGGGCCAATGAGCCCCAGAACCTGTCGTCATGCAGACTGATGACAGGAGTCTATCAGGTGAACACACTTCGAGTACCCATTGTTTTGAAAACAGAATTCATAAAGAGGAACAGATGACGTAAAACTAACATTTACACTTTGTTTCAGACTTTATATCTGTGGTAAAACACTGCTCTTGATATGAAATCGTACAAGGACAGAGTTTTTTTTATTTTATCTAACTCTGACGGGATGATGATAATCTGTATTTCTTGCAAAAGTGCAACACTGATACATTACAGCCAGCTTGTGCAAGTATTTGTACTGTATGTAATGCTGTTAGCACAAGTTGTGGGTGCCTTTGATTTCATAATGGCGGAAATATTAACCACCTAATAACCAAGATATTATCACATATCTTCTGTGGTTATGGCTGCCTTCTCTGGGTGAGGTGAGAAAAAGCTGATGTTTTATATCAGACATCACCATGGCCTGTAAATCATGTTCTTATTTTGTCTCAGCTGGGATTCTACAGCAGCACTCTGTTCGTGACCTCAATGAGCGTGGACCGCTACCTGGCCATCGTCCATGCCGTGGCAGCCATGAGAGCCAGGACGCTTCGCTACGGGAGCAGAGTCAGCATCGTCATCTGGGTTGTCGCTGCAATCATGGCAACACCTCAGCTGATATTTGCCTCCATGGAGATGGATGATGACGTACTTCATTGCCAACCTCTGTACCCTGAGGACAGGCAGCAGTTCTGGAAGATGCAGCGAAACTTCAGTGAGAACACAATAGGCCTTTTCGTCTGCCTCCCCATTATGGTTTTCTGCTACGTGAAAATCCTTGAGGTGCTGTCCAAGTCCAAGAACTCCAAAAGGGACAAAGCTGTGAAACTGATATTCATCATTGTGTGTGTGTTTGTGGTGTGCTGGGTCCCTTACAATGTTATGGTTTTCCTTCAGACTTTGCAGCTCTTTGAAATCTTGAATGACTGTGTGGCTTCAAAAACGATCGACTCCGCTATGGGCTTTGCTGAGATCATTGCACTGGCTCACTGCTGCGTGAATCCTGTCATCTATGCATTTGTAGGGGAGAAGTTTAGGAAGTCACTGCGCAAAGTGATGACACGATGCTTCTGCTGGAGTCATCAGAGCAGAGTGGCATTAAGCCTCAGAGACAACACAGAGAAAGAGACTTCCAACACACCTGTAAAGTCAGATTACTGAAAAATAACAAACTGGACGTCTGTGTGGTGGTGGTGTGTGCGTGTGGTTACAATGATTCAACAGTGTATGAGTGTGCATGTGTGTGTGTGTGTAGCGTTGAGTAGATGATGCTTGTTAGAACTTTAAAATGGGGCACTGATAATTTCCAGTAATGAGGGAATGATTCATTTTGAAAGTGTACAGAATTTTATGAAACATTTATTCAAATAATGTAATTCAAAGTATATTTGGAACTTGTGCAATTGTATTGTGTTTGTAACAGATCAAATAAGGAAAATAAAACTTTCTGGTGTGCATGTGTCTCATCGACAAACATTGACTATAAAAGTTTAATTGCAGATAAACCAGGTAGGATTAACACAAAATTGTCTAACTTCACTCTGGACCATAGACAAACAATAAAAAGTGACAGTATATTGTAGAACTGTTTGAGGAGGACTCACTAATGACGAGGAATAATTCTGAAGTAGACTTCAGAGCATTGACAAAGGCCAAGAGAAAAGCCAATTCCAGACAGGCAGGTTCAGAATAGAGACTGTATTTGTGTAAGTAAAATGTCACAAGCAAAGCCTTTTGCCTCAGCAGTGCATTGTCACCCAGATGATCGAAAACATTTCAGACAGTCATTCTATGCAGTCTGTTATTATTTGACATGAGTCCCCATGTCATATAACAATAACATTCTGACTCACGTGCCAGTGTTTGTTCATCTGGGCACAAGTCACATTTATGTCTGACCAAATCAAAATGATGGACACAATCCTGTAAAATGCAACAGTCACATCAGCTTGGCCTTCAGATATTAGTCAGATCTTTGCCCCACTCAGAGAAAGTTATTCACTTCTTATATACGTTCTCTTTTAAGACAACTGTGTAGACTTCACTCATGTCAGTGTCAGTAGTATAATTTCTTGTATAAAAAAAAAAAACTGCATGCAGAGCTCTGCAAACCTCCACCTGCAGATCACTTCACATATTTTTAAAAGTGCATATGTGGACTTGTGGTTTAGAGTTCCTGTGTACCTACCGAGTTTTTAAACAAGCCTCGCTTTTCAAATTGTAAGGAAGTTATAACCATATACCGTTTCTACAAACCAATAATCCCACCTAGACAGCCTGGGTCGGTGGATTTCAGGGCTTTGCTCGTGGTATATAAAGTAGTTGTCATTTATCCCATGCTGCACATGATCAAATTGGATTATACAGCTGTTCATTTATTTTATTTGACCATCCACCTCCGCATCTTGTGATCCAGAATCCACCAACATCAGCTTTCTTCAGATCATCAGCCACTATAACAAAGGTACATTTTTTTTCTTACTTTCATATGCAAATTATCTTACGTGAAGACGATGTCTATGATATGTCAACACACAAGCATAATTTGTCTTTCTGTCAGAGTGGGAAATGATTGCTGCACAGTGATTTATTGGTGGCCTGTAACAATGCAAACACACAAACGGTACAAAAGTGCTGAACAAAAGCATGTTGCAAATAGACACACAGAATGGTTAACTATAGGTGTACACTTATTTTTAAATAACATTAACATTAGATTTGGTCTCTGACATGGCATGAAGTCATGATCAGTCCAGATACATCAAAAGGTGCAGTTATGGTTATGGGGTAATACACATGATGGTTCAAACATTTTAAGTATTAAAGATTCTGTTTCTTATGGTCCATGTATTTTGTAGAAAAGAATCATTATAGTTGTTCTGGTAATCAACCAATCAATACTTCACAAATGAGAAAAACATTTATTGTCATCACTCTAGATGGCTTATTTGCTATTTTGTTGAATTTGTCCAGGACCGCTGCATTATCTCCAAGTTCCAGATTAACTAAAGATTTAAAAAATACTCAAAACAGTGGGTTGAACCTATATATCATATATTTCTGCAGGCTATCAGGGAGCTCTTCATCTCGTCATCTACTGAATACACATTAAAACTCTTCAACACTGACATGTGCTTCAAAGACATATTTACATAATCAGCTCAGTGCATAATTTGATGACATGCTCAAAACTGAACAGACAGGTTCTTTCAGTTTGCATTAAGAAACTTGCAGATTTCTGCTGCTGTGGTAAAGTGTGCATAATGTCTTTGCCCTTTATAGGCCATGTTGTTCATGCACCCTTGTATCGGTAAATACACTATAAACCCCTTCATACGCTGAACCAGTACACATGAATTGTCAGTCTTGTTTGGGATATGTTGGCCAAATAAAACCAGCTTCAAATATTCATTTAGGAAAAAATTTAAAAATGCTGCATGCATCAAACTGTACACCATGCCCCTGCAGTTATTAAGGTTGTGATAGTAGAAATGACCATGACAAGGAAATATTGACATTACTTTACTTGCCACTAATTATAATCTTACTTTTCAGGTGAAATACGTCAGACCTGATTCCTAGTGATAAACAGAAACTAATTTTAAATCGAATCATGTGAACATTGCTTATATACTTTTAAACAGGAGGTCATTTTAATCAAATTGCATTTGTAATTAATTTGGCAGCATTTACACTTTTGATTAAAGATACTTTTCAGAAGATGAGCAGTAGCAGGACCACTGTTAGCAATAAGACACATGCACTATCAAAACTTTGTCACACTTGAAAAAAAAAAAAATAAAAAAATCAAAACTGGGCTGAAGCATCTGTTTTTAATTTCAGGGATTGACCTCTGTCCTCTCGGAAACTGACCATGGACACAACCTCCCCTGCTGTCAGTGCTTTGGGTCGCAGTGTAACTCCAACTATAAACTATGTACCAAGGTAAGATTCAACTGGCTGAGCCCACACACACTTCTGATATCTGGTTCATTACTTTGCTCGGATCACACTGTGTTAAAGTCTGTCTTTGTGCTTTTCTGTCTGACTATGGTTTCTTTTCCGTCTTTTATAGAAGCTGGCTGAGATTTGTAGTCACCTGTATCTGTGTCTTTAGCCATAACATATATTTTGGTGGCCGGTTCTCCTGAATTGGACAGTGAGGTTACAAGTACAAGATTCTTTATTGTATTTGTTTAATGGTGCAACATATCTCAGTGAAATGGGTTTAGTTTGAAGGTTCTTTACTTCCCATAGCTACAGTGCATAGATACATAGATTGTTGTATACTTTATGTGATATGAAAGGTTGATGTCGATAAAAAACTGAGCTCAGCTCTCAGGAGAGTGCAAAGTGTATAACAGTCTCATAGACATCAGTTCTCTTTGTTTTATTTACACACTACCCGTGATAGCTTAGTAACTTAGCATTAACAGCTAACAACTCCCTCTCACTCCCCTGCTCTCTCCTGCTCTCTCCTGCTCAGCGTGCCGGAGGTTCAGTTACTCCTCTGCCTCCTTTATCGATAACGATATGTGTGTTAAATGTAACTTATTTGCCAGGATGGAGGCGAGGATTAGCCATTCTGAATCGCGGCTCTGCACCATGCAGAGTAAACCTTTAGCTGATGTAGTTAGCCAGTCCCCGGTAGCCGGTGCGAGCCAAGTAGCTATAGCTTCTCCAGCAGCTGCCGAGCAGCCAGGTCTGTAAGAAGCGTAGCCCTAAACTGAAGCTCCATACCCACTGAGGAACAAACTCTGGTTATCGGCGACTCTATTTAGAGACACGGGAAGTTAGCGACACCAGCGACCACGGTAAATGTTTTTACTGGGGCCAGAGCTGGCGACATAGAGACTTATTTAAAACTGCTGGCTAAGGGTAAGCGTACGTACAGTAAGATTGTTATTCATGTCGGCACAAAAAACAATATTGATTCGGTGTGTACATATGCAAAGACAATGTCGGACTCCGTAATTTTCTCTGGACCCCTGCCTAATGTTTCCAGTGACGACATGTACAGCCGCATCCTTTCACCGCTGGCTGTCGAGATGGTGTCCAGATAACAACGTGGGCTTCGTAGATAATTGGCGAACTTTTTTGGGGGAAACCTGGTCTGATTAGGAGAGACTGTATTCATCCCACTTGGGATGGAGCAGCTCTCATATCTAGAAACATGACAACGTTTGTTAGACAGTCCACACCATGACAATCCAGAGGTGAGACCAGGAGGTAGGAGTCGCAGTCTTATACACGCTTCACCCTCACAATATCCTGTAGAAACTGTTATTATTGACCTGATTACCGATCACCAAATCGATCTATTATGTCTAACAGAAACCTGGCTGCAAGATGGAGAATATGAAGGCTTAAATGAAGTGACGCCCCCAAGCTATATTAATACTCATACTCCTCGCAGCATGAGCAGAGGTGGAGGGGTTGCAGCTATCTCTAAATCTCACTTATCTATCAACCCTCGACTGAAAAAAGATATAACTCCTTTGAAAATCTTACAATCAGCCTCATCCATCAAAGCCTGAAATCACATAAACCAATTCATCTCGTTATCATACATCGTCCGCCTGCCCCTTACTCAGAATTTTTATCTGAATTCTCAGAATTTCTATCAGAACTAGTTCTTAGGACAGATAAAATCATCATTATAGTTCAACTTTCATGTAGATGTTGCCAACGACAGCCTTAGTTCAGCTTTCAAATCAATAATAGACACAATTGGTTTCATTCAACATGTGAATAAACCCACCCACTGTCTGAATCACACTCTTGATCTTGTTCTGACATATGGCATAGACATTGAAAATGTATTAATATTTTAACAGAACCCTCTTCTGTCTGACCATTTTTTAATTACATTTGAATTTACAATTATTAATTACACCGATTCTGGACAGAAATTCTATTATAGTCAGTGTTTATCTGTTAAAACTGTGAAAACATATAAAGAACTGCTTCCTTCTACACTTACCTGTCAGCCATTTGTCAGTACAATACAGGAAAGTTATCAAAACTTTACACCCACACTATTTGATAACTTTGTTAATAGTGTAGCAGCTTCATTAAAAACAACTCTTGACGTTGTCACCCCTCTTAAACAGAAGAAGGCAAATCAGAGGAGATTAGCTCCATGGTATAATTATCAGACACGTGTTCTAAAACAGACATCGCGGAAACCAGAGACGAAGTGGCATTCCACCAATGAACAGGACTTTCACCTAGCCTGGAAGGATTGCTTGATATATTACAAGAAAGCACTTAGAAATGCCAGAACCTCCCAGGTTTCTCTTCAGCACTGTAGCCAGGCTGACAGAAAGTCACACCTCTACTGACCCATCTATCCCTCTAACCCTAAGAAGCAATGATTCCATGAGCTTCTTTACAAATAAAATTATAACCATCAGGGATAAATCCACCACCTCCTTCCAATGAATAGCATATACATAGTATACATACATTGTCTGGTCCTGAAACCATAGAACCAGATTTATGTTTGAAACTATTGATCTTCCTGAACTGACCTCATTAGTTTCATCTTGTAAACCAACAACTTGTCAATTAGACTCTGTCCCAACTGGACTTTTTAAGGAAGTTTTCCCCCGATGGACAGTTCCATATTATATCAGATTAACATGTCTTTAACCAGCTATGTACCACAAGCTTTTAAGGTAGCTGTTATTAAACCTCTGCTTAAAAAGCCTACACTTGATCCAGAGGTTTTAGCTATAGACCCATATCAAACCTGCCCTTCATTTCAAAAATCCTAGAAAAAGCAGTTGCTAACCAGCTGTGTGATTACTTAGATAGTAATGGTTTGCTGGACAAACTTCAGTCAGGATTTAGAATCCATCACAACACAGAAACAGCACTATTGAAAGTCACTAATGACCTTTTTAAGGCATCAGGTGATGGACTTGTCTCTGTACTCGTCCTGTTGGATCTTAGTGCAGCATTTGACACCATAGATCATAGGATCTTGTTTCAGTGACTAGAACAACATATAGAAAGCACCACATACACTACCATTGTTACGCAGATGACACCCAGCTGTACATTTCTATGAAGCATGATGAATCTAATTACTAAGTTCAACTTCAGGAATGTCTCAAGAACATCAAGGCCTGGATGACTCAAAACTTCTTACTTCTAAATTCAGAAAAAAAACTGAGGTCGTTGTAATTGGCCCTAAACATCTCAGAGAATCACTGTCTGAACAGATAGTTACTTTGGATGGTGTCAGCTTGGCCTCCAGCTCAACTGTGAGGAACCTTGGAGTTATGTTTGACCAGGACATGTCATTTGACCAACAGATAAAACAAGTCTCCCGGACAGCTTTCTTCCACCTGTGCAATATTAACAAAATAAGAAACATCCTGTCTCAGAAAGATGCTGAAAAACTAGTCCACACATTCGTTACCTCTAGACTAGATTACTGTAATTCCTTATTATCAGGATGCCCCAGGAAATCGGTAAAAGTCTCCAGTTGGTCCAAAATGCCGCAGCAAGAGTGCTGACAGGAACTAGAGGGAGAGATCATATTACTCCTGTCTTAGCTTCTCTACATTGGCTCCCTGTAAAATTCAGAATAGATTTCAAAATCCTGCTCCTCACATTTAAAGCCCTCAACAATCAAGCCTGTTCATATATCAAATACCTGATAACACTGTATTATTCAAATAGATCACTACGTTCACAAAACACAGGCTCTCTTGTAGTTCCAAGAGTCTGTACGAGTAGAACAGGAGGTAGAGCATTCAGCTACCAGGCTCCTCTCCTGTGGAACCAGCTCCCACTCTGGGTTCTAGAGTCTGTAAGAGGAGAACAGGAGGTAGAACCTTCAGCTACCAGGCTCCTCTCCTGTGGAACCAGCTCCCACTCTGGGTTCAGGAGTCAGACACCACTTCAGCATTTAAAGTTAAACTTAAAACATTCCTATTTGATAAAGCCTATAGTTAGTTCTGGATCAGGTGAGTCCTGAACCATCACCTAGTTATGCTGCAATAGGTCTAGAATGCTGGGGGAACTCCCATCATGCACAGAGCACCTCTCCACTTCTCTCTGTYTCTCTGCCCCCCCACATTCATTCATTTATTTATTTTAATACATGTCAATGACTATTTCACTTTGTACTCCCATAGTCTCTCTCTCTCTTTTTCTCTCTCATTTCAGATATCTCTGACCCCGGAACCTCAAGACAACAACTTTACTATTATTACTATTATTAATTACAATATCTCAATAATTAATTATTATATGAATTGTGCCTGTTATCAATAATATTTAATAGTCTTTACACTGTTGTTTATATTTGAACTAGTCAGATCTGATACCTGAGGGCGCTCAAGGGTTCCCGGTCCTTCTCGCCCCCCTCTCCCCTACTTCCCCCTCCCCACTATCCCTCTCTCTTCTCTCCCCTCTTTTCCACCTATCTCTCCTCTCCTTCCCCCGTTTTCTTTGCTATTCCCCAACCGGTCGAGGCAGATGACTACCCACATTGAGCCTGGTTCTGCTAGAGATTTCTCCCTGTTAATGAGGGAGTTTTTCCTCCACAGTCGCCAAAATGCTGCTCATTGTGGGAACTGTTGGGTTTCTCTATATTTAATATGATTTTAAGGTCCTGACCTTCTGTGTAAAGTGCCTTGAGATAATGTACATTATGATTTGGCGCTATACAAATAAAATTGAATTGAATTGAATTGTTTCATCAAGAGCAATGAACTATTCTCTGAGGAATTGGTGAAAATATTTAAAACGCCCTGTTTCACAATGTTACAGAGAGGGGGGGAAAATCAGATCCAGAATTTATTCATATAGGGTTAGGGTCAACCCAAGACATAATAGAGAGAGGAAAAAAGACAAAGGTTGTAAAACAACCAACAAAGACAATAAGAAATGAAAGAGAGTGAAAAAATATAAATCAATACATTTAAAAGAAAAAAAAAACACCTATCTATACTTGTATGAATGTTTATAGGGCAAATAGATCTGACAGTGCAGTCCTGCTTATATAAATATCCATCCATAAAATGTTTAACCTTTTGACCTATATCGCATCCTTCCACCAAGTTTTGCGGTAATCCGTCCTGTAGTTTTTGTGTAATGCTGCTAAATAACAATGAATAACAATGAAAACATAACTTCCATGGTGAAGATGATCTGAAATACTGGATATTACCTAATCATTCATTTGTCCGTGCATTTTTTTTCTCCAACCCAGCTCAGGCCCAACATCCTTCTACGCATACTACGACTACCCTGAAGAGGACGTTGGGAGGTGTCTGTACGAGCGTCATGGAGCCAATTTCCTTCCTGTCCTTTACATTATTTTCTTCCTCATTGGCCTGTTCGGAAACTCTCTGGTCATCTGGGTCATCGCCTGCGGGGTGCGTCTCCGCAGTATGACCGACGTATGCCTCCTGAACTTGGCCATCGCTGACCTGCTCTTGGTGTGCTCTCTTCCCTTCCTCGCCCACCAGGCCCGCGACCAGTGGCATTTCGGAGACACAATGTGCAAAGTGATCCTGGGCATTTATCATATTGTTTTTTACTGTGGGATCTTCTTCATCAGCCTGATGAGCATCGACAGGTACTTGGCAATAGTTCACGCTGTTTACGCCATGAGAGCACGGACGCGGTCATTCGGACTGGGTGCAGCTGCTGTTACATGGGTGGCTGGATTTCTGGCTTCGTTCCCTGATCTGACCTTTCTCAAACTGCAGCCTGGTGCTAACATGACACAGTTCTGCTTTCCTGCATATCCCCTTTCTGCCTTGAGTGATACCAACTCCCACTTCTGGAGGGTCTTTAGCCTTTTCAAAATTAACATTTTGGGTCTGCTCATTCCAGTCCTCATCATGGGGTTCTGCTACTCTCAGATTGTGTGGAGGCTGCTGCACAGCCAGTCGTCCAAGAAACAGGCCATCCGGTTAGTTCTCGCAGTGGTGGTGGTTTTCCTCTGCTGCTGGCTCCCCTACAACGTTGCATCATTCTTCAAAGCACTGGAGCTCCTGCATGTCTACACAGAATGTGGAAGCAGCAAAGCCATCAGGTTGACTTTAGAAGTCACAGAGGCCATTGCCTACGCTCACAGCTGCCTCAACCCCATCCTGTACGTGTTTGTCGGGACGAAGTTCAGGAGGCACCTGGTGAGGCTGATAAACAGGGCTCCCTGCAGACTGTGTCAGGTGATCAAGGTCTACATCCCTCAGAACAGAAATACCGGCTCAATGTACTCACAAACCTCCAGTCTGGACGAGAGGAGCACCGCTGTGTAAAGTACTTATTTACAGTTTGTACAGGACTGAAGGTCACTTTGTGGAGGTCATTTAGATTTGGGTAAACAACAGGGGAAGATTTTGGCACTTTAGGTTTGAGAATGTGTTTTATTTAGTCAGTGGTGTATTATAGGAAAGCACATATGACCTTTTTTTTTAACCCTATACA